CAACAATGATTTACAAACCGACAACAACTACAACGATGATTTACAAACCCACAACAACAACAATGATTTACAAACGGACAACAACAACGATGATTTACAAACCCACAACAACAACAACGATGATTTACAAACCGATAACAACAACAACAATGATTTACAAACCGACAACAACAACGATGATTTACAAACCGACAACAACAACAACGATGATTTACAAACCAGTAACAACAACGATGATGTACAAACCGATAACAACAACAACGATGATTTACAAACCAGCAACAACAACAACAACGATGATTTACAAACCGACAACAACAACGATGATTTACAAACCGATAACGACAACAACAACGATGATTTACAAACCCACAACAACAACAACAACGATGATTTACAAACCGACAACAACGATGATTTACAAACCAGCAACAACAACAACGATGATTTACAAACCGATAACAACAACAACAACAGCAACAACGATGATTTACAAACTGATAACAACAACAACGATGATTTACAAACCGACAACAACAACAAGAACGATGATTTACAAACCGATAACAACGACAACAACAACGATGATTTACAAACCGATAACAACAACAACAACAACAATCATTTACAAACCGATAACAACAACGATGATTTACAAACCGATAACAACAACAACAACGATGATTTACAAACCAATAACGACAACAACAACAATCATTTACAAACCGACAACAACAACAACAACAACAACAACGATGATTTACAAACCGATAACAACAACAACAACGATGATTTACAAACCGACAACAACAACAACAACGATGATTTACAAACCAATAACGACAACAACAACAATCATTTACAAACCGACAACAACAATGATGATTTACAAACCGATAACAACAACAACAACAACGATGATTTACAAACCGATAACAACAACAACAACGATGATTTACAAACTGATAACAACAACAACAACAACAATCATTTACAAACCGATAACAACAACGATGATTTACAAACCGATAACAACAACAACAACGATGATTTACAAACCAATAACGACAACAACAACAATCATTTACAAACCGACAACAACAACAACAACAACGATGATTTACAAACCGGTAACAACAACAACAACGATGATTTACAAACCGACAACAACAACAACAACAACGATGATTTACAAACCAATAACGACAACAACAACAATCATTTACAAACCGACAACAACAACAACAACAACAATGATGATTTACAAACCGATAACAACAACAACAACAACAACAACAACGATGATTTACAAACCGATAACAACAACAACAACAATCATTTACAAACCGATAACAACAACGATGATTTACAAACCGATAACAACAACAACGATGATTTACAAACCAATAACGACAACAACAACAATCATTTACAAACCGACAACAACAACAACAACAACGATGATTTACAAACCGATAACAACAACAACAACAACGATGATTTACAAACCGACAACAACAACAACAACGATGATTTACAAACCAATAACGACAACAACAACAATCATTTACAAACCGACAACAACAACAATGATGATTTACAAACCGATAACAACAACAACAACAACAACAACGATGATTTACAAACCAGCAACAACAACAACAACGATGATTTACAAACCGATAACAACAACAACAACAACGATGATTTACAAACCGACAACAACAACGATGATTTACAAACCCACAACAAGAACAACAACAACGATGATTTACAAACCGATAACAACAACAACAATGATTTACAAACCGACAACAACAACGATGATTTACAAACCGATAACAACAACAATGATGATTTACAAACCGATAACAACAACGATGATTTACAAACCGATAACAACAACAACGATGATTTACAAACCGACAACAACAACGATGATTTACAAACCGACAACAACAACGATGATTTACAAACCAATAACAACAACAACAATGATTTACAAACCGACAACAACTACAACGATGATTTACAAACCCACAACAACAACAATGATTTACAAACGGACAACAACAACGATGATTTACAAACCCACAACAACAACAACGATGATTTACAAACCGATAACAACAACAACAATGATTTACAAACCGACAACAACAACGATGATTTACAAACCGACAACAACAACAACGATGATTTACAAACCAGTAACAACAACGATGATGTACAAACCGATAACAACAACAACGATGATTTACAAACCAGCAACAACAACAACAACGATGATTTACAAACCGACAACAACAACGATGATTTACAAACCGATAACGACAACAACAACGATGATTTACAAACCCACAACAACAACAACAACGATGATTTACAAACCGACAACAACGATGATTTACAAACCAGCAACAACAACAACGATGATTTACAAACCGATAACAACAACAACAACAGCAACAACGATGATTTACAAACTGATAACAACAACAACGATGATTTACAAACCGACAACAACAACAACAAGAACGATGATTTACAAACCGATAACAACGACAACAACAACGATGATTTACAAACCGATAACAACAACAACAACAACAATCATTTACAAACCGATAACAACAACGATGATTTACTATCCGATAACAACAACAACAACGATGATTTACAAACCAATAACGACAACAACAACAATCATTTACAAACCGACAACAACAACAACAACAACGATGATTTACAAACCGATAACAACAACAACAACGATGATTTACAAACCGACAACAACAACAACAACGATGATTTACAAACCAATAACGACAACAACAACAATCATTTACAAACCGACAACAACAATGATGATTTACAAACCGATAACAACAACAACAACAACGATGATTTACAAACCGATAACAACAACAACAACGATGATTTACAAACCGATAACAACAACAACAACAACAATCATTTACAAACCGATAACAACAACGATGATTTACAAACCGATAACAACAACAACAACGATGATTTACAAACCAATAACGACAACAACAACAATCATTTACAAACCGACAACAACAACAACAACAACGATGATTTACAAACCGGTAACAACAACAACAACAACGATGATTTACAAACCGACAACAACAACAACAACAACGATGATTTACAAACCAATAACGACAACAACAACAATCATTTACAAACCGACAACAACAACAACAACAATGATGATTTACAAACCGATAACAACAACAACAACAACAACGATGATTTACAAACCGATAACAACAACAACAACAATCATTTACAAACCGATAACAACAACGATGATTTACAAACCGATAACAACAACAACAACGATGATTTACAAACCAATAACGACAACAACAACAATCATTTACAAACCGACAACAACAACAACAACAACGATGATTTACAAACCGATAACAACAACAACAACAACGATGATTTACAAACCGACAACAACAACAACAACGATGATTTACAAACCAATAACGACAACAACAACAATCATTTACAAACCGACAACAACAACAACAATGATGATTTACAAACCGATAACAACAACAACAACAACAACGATGATTTACAAACCAGCAACAACAACAACAACGATGATTTACAAACCGATAACAACAACAACAACAACGATGATTTACAAACCGACAACAACAACGATGATTTACAAACCCACAACAAGAACAACAACAACGATGATTTACAAACCGATAACAACAACAACAATGATTTACAAACCGACAACAACAACGATGATTTACAAACCGATAACAACAACAACAACAACAACGATGATTTACAAACCGACAACAACAACGATGATTTACAAACCGATAACAACAACAATGATGATTTACAAACCGACAACAACAACGATGATTTACAAACCAATAACAACAACAACGATGATTTACAAACCGACAACAACAACAATGATTTACAAACCGATAACCATGAGTGTGAGCAAATGAATGAATGAGCGAGCGAATGTGTGAGGGAACGAGCAAATAAGCAAGCGAATGAATGAGTGAGGGAGCGAATTAGTGAGTGAGCGAATGAGTCAGCGAGGGAGCGAGGGAGTGAATCAGAGAGCGAATGAGTGAGTGAGTGAGCAAGCGAGTGAATGAGTGAGTGAATGAGTGAGTGAGCAAGAGAGCGAGCGAATGAGTGAGCGAGTGAGTGAGTGAGTAAATGAGCGAGTGAGTGAATGAGTGAGTGAGTAAGTGAATGAGTGAGTGAATGAGTGAGTGAGTGAGTGAATGGGTGAGTGAGTAAGTGAATGAGAGAGTAAATGAGCAAGTGAGTGAATGAGTGAGCGTGTGAATAAATGAATGAGTGAATGAGTGAGCGAGTGAATGAGTGAGCGAGTGAATGAATGTGAGTGAGCGAGTGAGTGAATGAGTGAGCGAGTGAGTGAGCGAGTGAGTGAGCGAGTGAGTAAGCGAGTGAATGAGTGAGTGAATGAGTGAGCGAGTGAATGGGTGAGTAAGTGAATGAGTGAGTGAGTGAACGAGCGAGTGAGTGAACGAGCGAGCGAGTGAATGAGTGAGCGAGTGAATGAATGAGTGAGTGAATGAGTGAGCGAGTGAGCGAGCGAGTGAGTGAGCGAGTAAGTGAGTGAGCAAGTGAGCGAGTGAATGAGTGAGTGAATGAGTGAGTGAGTGAGCGAGTGAATGAATGAGTGAGAGAGTGAATGAATGAGTGAGTGAGTGAGCGAGTGAGCGAGTGAATGAGAGAGTGAGTGAGCAAGTGAGTGAGCGAATGAATGAGAGAGCGAGTGAGCGAGTGAATGAGTGAATGAGTAAGTGAATGAGTGAGTGAATGAGTGAGTGAGTGAGCGAGTGAGCGAGTGAGTGAGCGAGTGAGCGAGCGAGTGAGCGAGCGAGCGAGTGAGCGAGCGAGCGAGCGAGTGAATGAGTGAACGAGCGAGTGAGTGAGTGTCTCACCGTGGGTCCGGGTGGACCAGGAGGCCCAATGTTTCCTTTGAGCCCGGCAGCTCCCTGCGAGGGCGACAACGCGGATCAGAGACTCACACAGCGGACCGGTTCGGTGCGGTTTGGACCGGTGCGGTGCGGTTTGGACCGGAGCGGTGCGGATTGGACCGGTGCGGTGCGGTTTGGACCGGTGCGGTGCGGTTTGTACCGGTGCGGTGCGGTTTGGACCGGAGCGGTGCGGATTGGACCGGAGCGGTGCGGTTTGGACCGGTGCGGTGCGTTAAGTTTGTCCATGCCCCGCGCCTTCGGCTATCTCTGTTGGCTGCTCGTACCCCTCGTGAGTAGGTAACGTACCCCACGTGAGTAGGTGACGTACCACCACGTGAGTAGGTGACGTACCCCACGTGAGTAGGTGACGTACCCCTCGTGAGTAGGTAACGTACCCCTCGTGAGTAGGTAACGTACCCCACGTGAGTAGGTAACGTACCCCACGTGAGTAGGTAACGTACCCCTCGTGAGTAGGTAACGTACCCCACGTGAGTAGGTAACGTACCCCACGTGAGTAGGTAACGTACCCCTCGTGAGTAGGTAACGTACCCCACGTGAGTAGGTAACGTACCTCACGTGAGTAGGTATCGTACCCCTCGTGAGTAGGTAACGTACCCCTCGTGAGTAGGTAACGTACCCCACGTGAGTAGGTGACGTACCCCAAGTGAGTAGGTAACGTACCCCTCGTGAGTAGGTGACGTACCCCACGTGAGTAGGTAACGTACCCCACGTGAGTAGGTGACGTACCCCTCGTGAGTAGGTAACGTACCCCTCGTGAGTAGGTAACGTACCCCACGTGAGTAGGTAACGTACCCCTCGTGAGTAGGTGACGTACCCCTCGTGAGTAGGTAACGTACCTCACGTGAGTAGGTGATGTACCCCACGTGAGTAGGTAACGTACTCCACGTGAGTAGGTAACGTACCCCACGTGAGTAGGTAACGTACCCCACGTGAGTAGGTAACGTACCCCTCGTGAGTAGGTAACGTACCCCTCGTGAGTAGGTGACGTACCCCACGTGAGTAGGTAACGTACCTCACGTGAGTAGGTAACGTACCCCACGTGAGTAGGTGACGTACCTCACGTGAGTAGGTAACGTACCCCTCGTGAGTAGGTGACGTACCCCTCGTGAGTAGGTGACGTACCCCTCGTGAGTAGGTAACGTACCCCACGTGAGTAGGTAACGTACCCCTCGTGAGTAGGTGACGTACCCCACGTGAGTAGGTAACGTACCCCACGTGAGTAGGTGACGTACCCCTCGTGAGTAGGTAACGTACCCCTCGTGAGTAGGTAACGTACCCCACGTGAGTAGGTAACGTACCCCTCGTGAGTAGGTGACGTACCCCTCGTGAGTAGGTAACGTACCCCACGTGAGTAGGTAACGTACCCCTCGTGAGTAGGTAACGTACCCCACGTGAGTAGGTAACGTACCCCACGTGCGTGGGTAACGTACCCCTCGTGAGTAGGTGACGTACCCCTCGTGAGTAGGTAACGTACCCCACGTGAGTAGGTAACGTACCCCACGTGAGTAGGTATCGTACCCCTCGTGAGTAGGTAACGTACCCCACGTGAGTAGGTGACGTACCCCTCGTGAGTAGGTAACGTACCCCTCGTGAGTAGGTGACGTACCCCACGTGAGTAGGTAACGTACCCCTCGTGAGTAGGTAACGTACCCCACGTGAGTAGGTAACGTACCCCACGTGAGTAGGTAACGTACCCCACGTGACTAGGTGACGTACCCCTCGTGAGTAGGTAACGTACCCCTCGTGAGTAGGTAACGTACCCCTCGTGAGTAGGTGACGTACCCCTCGTGAGTAGGTGACGTACCCCACGTGAGTAGGTAACGTACCCCACGTGAGTAGGTAACGTACCCCACGTGAGTAGGTAACGTACCCCACGTGAGTAGGTGACGTACCACCACGTGAGTAGGTAACGTACCCCTCGTGAGTAGGTAACGTACCCCTCGTGAGTAGGTGACGTACCCCTCGTGAGTAGGTGACGTACCCCACGTGAGTAGGTAACGTACCCCACGTGAGTTTGGTAACGTACCCCTCGTGAGTAGGTAACGTACCCCACGTGAGTAGGTATCGTACCCCTCGTGAGTAGGTAACGTACCCCACGTGAGTAGGTAACGTACCCCTCGTGAGTAGGTAACGTACCCCTCGTGAGTAGGTGACGTACCCCACGTGAGTAGGTAACGTACCCCTCGTGAGTAGGTGACGTACCACCACGTGAGTAGGTAACGTACCCCACGTGAGTAGGTAACGTACCCCACGTGAGTAGGTGACGTACCCCACGTGAGTAGGTAACGTATCCCTCGTGAGTAGGTAACGTACCCCTCGTGAGTAGGTATCGTACCCCACGTGAGTAGGTAACGTACCCCACGTGAGTAGGTGACGTACCCCACGTGAGTGGGTGACGTACCCCACGTGAGTAGGTAACGTACCCCTCGTGAGTAGGTAACGTACCCCTCGTGAGTAGGTAACGTACCCCACGTGACTAGGTAACGTACCCCACGTGAGTAGGTAACGTACCCCTCGTGAGTAGGTAACGTACCCCTCGTGAGTAGGTAACGTACCCCACGTGAGTAGGTAACGTACCCCTCGTGAGTAGGTAACGTACCCCACGTGAGTAGGTAACGTACCCCACGTGAGTAGGTATCGTACCCCACGTGAGTAGGTAACGTACCCCTCGTGAGTAGGTAACGTACCCCACGTGACTAGGTAACGTACCCCACGTGACTAGGTAACGTACCCCACGTGAGTAGGTAACGTACCCCACGTGAGTAGGTAACGTACCCCACGTGAGTAGGTAACGTACCCCTCGTGAGTAGGTAACGTACCTCACGTGAGTAGGTGACGTACCCCTCGTGACTAGGTAACGTACCCCACGTGAGTAGGTGACGTACCCCAGGTGAGTAGGTAACGTACCCCACGTGAGTAGGTAACGTACCCCACGTGAGTAGGTAACGTACCCCACGTGAGTAGGTAACGTACCCCTCGTGAGTAGGTAACGTACCCCACGTGAGTAGGTAACGTACCCCACGTGAGTAGGTGACGTACCCCTCGTGAGTAGGTAACGTACCCCACGTGAGTAGGTAACGTACCCCACGTGAGTAGGTGACGTACCCCAGGTGAGTAGGTAACGTACCCCACGTGAGTAGGTAACGTACCCCACGTGAGTAGGTAACGTACCCCACGTGAGTAGGTAACGTACCCCTCGTGAGTAGGTAACGTACCCCACGTGAGTAGGTAACGTACCCCACGTGAGTAGGTGACGTACCCCTCGTGAGTAGGTAACGTACCCCTCGTGAGTAGGTAACGTACCCCACGTGAGTAGGTATCGTACCCCACGTGAGTAGGTAACGTACCCCTCGTGAGTAGGTGACGTACCCCACGTGAGTAGGTAACGTACCCCACGTGAGTAGGTGACGTACCCCACGTGAGTAGGTGACGTACCCCTCGTGAGTAGGTGACGTACCCCACGTGAGTGGGTAACGTACCCCACGTGAGTAGGTAACGTACCCCACGTGAGTAGGTAACGTACCCCACGTGAGTAGGTAACGTACCCCACGTGAGTAGGTGACGTACCCCAAGTGAGTAGGTAACGTACCCCACGTGAGTAGGTATCGTACCCCACGTGAGTAGGTAACGTACCCCTCGTGAGTAGGTAACGTACCCCTCGTGAGTAGGTAACGTACCCCACGTGAGTAGGTGACGTACCCCACGTGAGTAGGTGACGTACCCCACGTGAGTAGGTAACGTACCCCACGTGAGTAGGTAACGTACCCCACGTGAGTAGGTAACGTACCCCACGTGAGTAGGTAACGTACCTCACGTGAGTAGGTGACGTACCCCTCGTGAGTAGGTGACGTACCACCACGTGAGTAGGTGACGTACCCCACGTGAGTAGGTAACGTACCCCACGTGAGTAGGTAACGTACCCCTCGTGAGTAGGTGACGTACTCCACGTGAGTAGGTAACGTACCCCACGTGAGTAGGTAACGTACCCCTCGTGAGTAGGTGACGTACCCCACGTGAGTAGGTGACGTACCCCTCGTGAGTAGGTAACGTACCCCTCGTGAGTAGGTAACGTACCCCACGTGAGTAGGTAACGTACCCCACGTGAGTAGGTAACGTACCCCACGTGAGTAGGTAACGTACCCCACGTGAGTAGGTAACGTACCCCACGTGAGTAGGTAACGTACCCCTCGTGAGTAGGTAACGTACCCCACGTGAGTAGGTAACGTACCCCACGTGAGTAGGTAACGTACCCCACGTGAGTAGGTAACGTACCCCTCGTGAGTAGGTATCCTACCCCACGTGAGTAGGTAACGTACCCCACGTGAGTAGGTATCCTACCCCACGTGAGTAGGTATCCTACCCCACGTGAGTAGGTAACGTACCCCTCGTGAGTAGGTAACGTACCCCACGTGAGTAGGTAACGTACCCCACGTGAGTAGGTGACGTACCCCACGTGAGTAGGTAACGTACCCCACGTGAGTAGGTGACGTACCCCTCGTGAGTAGGTAACGTACCCCTCGTGAGTAGGTAACGTACCCCACGTGAGTAGGTAACGTACCCCACGTGAGTAGGTGACGTACCCCACGTGAGTAGGTAACGTACCCCTCGTGAGTAGGTAACGTACCCCTCGTGAGTAGGTAACGTACCCCACGTGAGTAGGTAACGTACCCCACGTGAGTAGGTGACGTACCCCACGTGAGTAGGTGACGTACCCCACGTGAGTAGGTAACGTACCCCTCGTGAGTAGGTATCGTACCCCTCGTGAGTAGGTGACGTACCCCACGTGAGTAGGTAACGTACCACACGTGAGTAGGTAACGTACTCCACGTGAGTAGGTGACGTACCCCACGTGAGTAGGTAACGTACCCCACGTGAGTAGGTAACGTACCCCTCGTGAGTAGGTAACGTACCCCACGTGAGTAGGTGACGTACCCCACGTGAGTAGGTAACGTACCCCTCGTGAGTAGGTAACGTACCCCTCGTGAGTAGGTAACGTACCCCACGTGAGTAGGTAACGTACCCCACGTGAGTAGGTAACGTACCCCACGTGAGTAGGTGTCGTACCCCTCGTGAGTAGGTAACGTACCCCACGTGAGTAGGTAACGTACCCCTCGTGAGTAGGTAACGTACCCCTCGTGAGTAGGTGACGTACCCCACGTGAGTAGGTGACGTACCCCACGTGAGTAGGTAACGTACCCCACGTGAGTAGGTGACGTACCCCACGTGAGTAGGTGACGTACCCCACGTGAGTAGGTGACGTACCCCACGTGAGTAGGTGACGTACCCCACGTGAGTAGGTGACGTACCCCACGTGAGTAGGTAACGTACCCCACGTGAGTAGGTAACGTACCCCTCGTGAGTAGGTAACGTACCCCACGTGAGTAGGTAACGTACCCCACGTGAGTAGGTAACGTACCCCACGTGAGTAGGTGACGTACCCCAAGTGAGTAGGTAACGTACCCCACGTGAGTAGGTGACGTACCCCACGTGAGTAGGTAACGTACCCCACGTGTCCACGCTTGCTTTGGTCTCGTTTATAACCCACCTCACCCGCGTGTCTCTGTGTGTCCCCGTGGGTGTCTCTGTGTGTCCCCGTGTGTCTCTGTGTGTCCCCGTGTGTCTCTGTGTGTCTCTGTGTGTCTCTGTGTGTCTCTGTGTGTCTCTGCATGTCTCTCTGTGTGTGTCTCTGTGTGTCTCTGTGTGTCCCCGTGGGAGTCTCTGTGTATCTCTGCGTGTCTCTGCATGTCTCTGTATGTGTCCCCGTGTGTCTCTGTGTGTCCCCATGTGTCCCCGTGTGTCTCTGTGTGTCCCCATGTGTCCCCGTGTGTCTCTGTGTGTCCCCGTGGGTGTCTCTGTGGGTGTCTCTGTGTGTCCCCGTGTGTCCCCGTGTGTCTTCAAGTGAGTCCACGTGTGTCCCCATGTGTCTCTGTGTGTCCCCGTGGGTGTCTCTGTGTGTCTCCGCGTGAGTCCCCGTGGGTGTCTCTGTGTGTCTCTGTGTGTCTCTGCATGTCTCTGTGTTGTGTTCCCCTGTGGCTCTGTGTCCCCGTGTGTCTCTGTATGTCTGTGTGTCTCTGCATGTCTCTGTGTGTGTCTCCGCGTGTCTCTGTGTGTCCCCATGTGTCCCCGTGTGTCCCCGTGTGTCTCTGTGTGTCCCCGTGGGTGTCTCTGTGTGTCCCCGTGTGTCCCCGTGTGTCTTCAAGTGAGTCCACGTGTGTCCCCGTGTGTCTCTGTGTGTCCCCGTGGGTGTCTCTGTGTGTCTCCGCGTGAGTCCCCGTGGGTGTCTCTGTGTGTCTGTGTGTCTGTGTGTCTCCGCGTGTCCCCGTGTGTCTCCACGTGTCTCCGTGTGTCTCCGCGTGTGTCTCCCCGTGTGTCTCCGTGTGTCCCCGTGTGTCCCCGTGTGTCTCCGCGTGTGTCCCCGTGTGTCTCCGCGTGTGTCTCGGCGTGTGTGTGTGCGTTACCGGGGTCCCAGGAAGACCTCTCTCCCCAGGGAATCCTCTCAGCCCTGGGGGCCCCTCCTTGCCTGGGCCCCCTGTGGGACCAGGGTCTCCCTACACACACACAGTGACACAGTGACACACACACGGTGACACAGTGAGACACAGTGACACACACAGTGAGACACACAGTGACACACACACAGACACACACACAGTGACACACACACACAGTGAGAGACACACACACACAGTGAGAGACACACACAACAAAGATCCCCCATATAGCCTTAACAGACTGTAGGGGCAAGTGCTGTTAGCGAGCACCTATGAAGGCCGGAACGGTACACGAGGGGGTGGGTGGCCAGCACCACGCCCGACCGCCTTTGTCTCCCTAGTGGCGATGTTTACACACCGCACCAGGTACTCATTTGAGGCTGAGTCGACCTAGGGGAGGCCCGGGACCGGTTCAGATAATCGTCACTGGTGTTGGCCGTGAGCGGGAATCGAACCCGGGTCGCCAGGTTCGTAGCGCAGCGCGCTAACCGCTACACCACCGCACACACACACAGTGAGACACACACACAGTGAGACACACACACAGTGAGACACACACACAGACACACACACAGACACACACAGACACACACACAGACACACACAGACACACACACAGACACACACAGACACACACTTGCTGCACAGTAGGTGCAAGGCTGTCACAGCTGTGGTGGTGGTGGTGGTTGGTGGTGGTGTTTAGTGGGTGCTGGACGCTGCTGGTTGGGGTCGGTGTTGGTGGTGGTGACAGTGGTTGATGTTGGTTGGTGGTGGTGATTGGTGGTGGACGCTGCTGGTTGTAGTGGTGGTGGTGTTGGTGGTGGACGCTGCTGGTTGTAGTGGTGGTGGTGTTGGTGGTGGCTGTGGTGGTTGGTGGTGTTGGTGTTTGGTGGTATTGGTAGTGGTGTTGGCTGTGGTGGTTGGTGGTGGTGTTGGTGTTTGGTGGTGTTGGTTGGTGGTGGCTGTGGTGTTGGTTGTGGTGTTGGTTGGTGGTGGTGTTGGTTGTGGTGTTGGTTGGTGGTGGCTGTGGTGGTGGTGGTGGTGGTGTTGGTGGTGGCTGTGGTGGTCATGGTGGTGATGGTGGTGTTGGTGGTGGCTGTGGTGGTTGTGGTGGTGGTGGTTGTTGTGGTGGTGGTGTTGGTGGTGGTTGTTGTGGTGGTGGCTGTGGTGTCTGTGATTGTTGTGGTTGTTGTGGTGGTTGTGGTTGTTGTGGTGGTGTTGGTGGTGGCTGTGGTTGTTGTGGTGGTGGCTGTGGTTGTTGTGGTGGTGTTGGTGGTGTCTGTGGTGGTTGTTGTGGTGATGGCTGTGGTGTTGGTGTTGGTGGTGGTGTTGGTGGTGGTGTTGGTGGTGGTGTTGGTGGTGTCTGTGGTGGTGGTGTTGGTGGTGTTGTGGTGGCTGTGGTTGTCTGTGGTGTTGGTGGTGATGGTGGTTGTTGCGGTGGTGGTGTTGGTGTTGGCGGCGTGGTTCTCACCTTGACTCCTTCTTTCCCAGGGGTCCCTGTCAGTCCCTGCTCCCCCGGGGGCCCAGGGGGCCCTGGGTGACCCCTGTCGCCGATGGGACCCGACTCACCCGTGGGACCCTGGCGTACGGGACACAAAGACAAAGGACCCCACCGCCCCAGCATAGTCTTCAAAGACGGCCGGGGCAAGTGCTGATAGCGAGTAGCAGAGCCTGTGAAGGCTACCGGCGGGGGCGGGGGGGGTGGGTTGGGTGGGTGGGTGGGTGGCCAGCACCACGCCCGCCCGGCCGCCTTTGTCTCCCCGGTGGCGATGTTCAACGACCACCGCACACCGCGCCAGGTTCTCATCTGAGGCCGAGTCGATTGAGGCAAAGACAAAGATGCCCCCCGTGTGGTCTGCTACAGGCGGCCGGGGCCAAGTGCTTGTCAGTGGCGAGTAGCAGCGCCTGTGAAGGCCGCCACTATGGCACGTGACCAGGGGGTTTGGTACGACAGTGGGTGACCCAAACTGGCTGCAATCGTAAAGACCACGTGTGTTGTGGTGTGTGTGTTGTGTGTGTTGTGTGTGGGGGTCACGTGTCTTGGCTGTGGGGGGGTCACGTGTCCTGGCTGTGGGAGGGGTCACGTGTCTTGGCTGTGGGGGGGAGTCACGTGTCTTGGCTGTGAGAGGGGTCACGTGTCCCTGGGCTGTGGGGAGGGGTCACGTGTCCCTGGGCTGTGGGGAGGGGTCACGTGTCCCTGGCTGTGGGAGGGGTCACGTGTCTTGGCTGTGGGAGGGGTCACGTGTCCTGGCTGTGGGAGGGGTCACGTGTCTTGGCTGTGGGAGGGGGTCACGTGTCCTGGCTGTGGGAGGGGTCACGTGTCTTGGCTGTGGGAGGGGTCACGTGTCTTGGCTGTGGGAGGGGTCACGTGTCCTGGCTGTGGGAGGGGTCACGTGTCTTGGCTGTGGAGGGGTCACGTGTCTGGGCTGTGGAGTGGTCACGTGTCTTGGCTGTGGAAGGGGTCACGTGTCTTGGCTGTGGGGGGGGTCACGTGTCTGGGCTGTGGGGGGGGTCACGTGTCTTGGCTGTGGGAGGGGTCACGTGTCTGGGCTGTGGGGGGGGGTCACGTGTCTTGGCTGTGGGGGGGTCATGTGTCTTGGCTGTGGGGGGGGTCACGTGTCTTGGCTGTGGGGGGGTCACGTGTCTTGGCTGTGGAAGGGGTCACGTGTCTTGGCTGTGGGAGGGGTCACGTGTCTTGGCTGTGGGGGGGTCACGTGTCTTGGCTGTGGGAGGGGTCACGTGTCTTGGCTGTGGGAGGGATCACGTGTCTTGGCTGTGGGAGGGGTCACGTGTCTTGGCTGTGGGAGGGGTCACGTGTCTTGGCTGTGGGGGGGGTCACGTGTCTGGGCTGTGGGGGGGGTCACGTGTCTTGGCTGTGGGAGGGGTCACGTGTCTGGGCTGTGGGGGGGGGGTCACGTGTCTTGGCTGTGGGGGGGTCATGTGTCTTGGCTGTGGGGGGGGTCACGTGTCTTGGCTGTGGGGGGGTCACGTGTCTTGGCTGTGGGAGGGGTCACGTGTCTTGGCTGTGGGAGGGGTCACGTGTCTTGGCTGTGGGGGGGTCACGTGTCTTGGCTGTGGGAGGGGTCACGTGTCTTGGCTGTGGGAGGGGTCACGTGTCTTGGCTGTGGGAGGGGTCACGTGTCTTGGCTGTGGGAGGGGTCACGTGTCTTGGCTGTGGGGGGGTCACGTGTCTTGGCTGTGGGAGGGGTCACGTGTCTTGGCTGTGGGAGGGGTCACGTGTCTTGGCTGTGGGAGGGGTCACGTGTCCTGGCTGTGGGGGGGTCACGTGTCCCTGGGCTGTGGAAGGGGTCACGTGTCCCTGGGCTGTGGGAGGGGTCACGTGTCCCTGGGTTGCTGACCTGCGGACCCACGACCCCAGCAGGTCCCGGCGGCCCAGTCTTGCCTTGGAAGCCCTGGCACACACACACGTGGACACACACACACGACACACACACACACGTGGACACACACACACGACACACACACACGACACACACACACGTGGACACACACACACACGACACACACACACGGGGACACACACACATACGGGGACACACACACACGACACACACACACACACACGGGGACACACACACACGTGGACACATACACACACGTGGACACACACACACGTGGACACACACACACGACACACACACGTGGACACACACACACACGTGGACACACACACACGTGGACACACACACACGACACACACACGTGGACACACACACACACGTGGACACACACACACGACACACACACACGACACACACACACGACACACACACACACGACACACACGACACACGCACACACACACGTGGACACACACACACACGTGGACACACACACACACACGTGGACACACACACGTGGAAACACACACACACGTGGACACACACACACGTGGACACACACACACGTGGACACACGACACACACACACACGTGGACACACGACACACACACGTGGACACACACACACGACAACACGATCAGTCACCCGTGGCATCACGCAGAAGTATCCACGGCAACTACAACCGGCACACGGCAACTACAACCGGCACACGGCAACTACAGCCGGCACACGGCAACTACAGCCGGCACACGGCAACTACAGCCGGCACACGGCAACTACAACCGGCACACGGCAACTACAACCGGCACACGGCAACTACAACCGGCACACTGCAACTACAACCGGCACACGGCAACTACAGCCGGCACACGGCAACTACAGCCGGCACACGGGAACTACAACCGGCACACGGCAACTACAACCGGCACACTGCAACTACAACCGGCACACGGCAACTACAGCCGGCACACGGCAACTACAGCCGGCACACGGGAACTACAACCGGCACACGGCAACTACAACCGGCACACGGCAACTACAACCGGCACACTGCAACTACAACCGGCACACGGCAACTACAGACGGCACACGGCAACTACAGCCGGCACACGGGAACTACAACCGGCACACGGCAACTACAACCGGCACACGGGAACTACAACCGGCACACGGCAACTACAACCGGCACACTGCAACCACAGCCGGCACACGGCAACTACAGCCGGCACACTGCAACTACAACCGGCACACGGCAACTACAACCGGCACACGGCAACTACAACCGGCACACGGCAACTACAACCGGCACACGGCAACTACAACCGGCACACGGCAACTACAACCGGCACACGGCAACTACAGCCGGCACACGGGAACTACAGCCGGCACACGGGAACTACAACCGGCACACGGCAACTACAACCGGCACACGGCAACTACAACCGGCACACGGCAACTACAACCGGCACACGGCAACTACATATCCAGGCACACGGGAACCACAGCCGGCACACGGCAACCACAGCCGGCACACGGCAACTACAGCCGGCACACGGCAACTACAGCCGGCACACGGCAACTACAGCCGGCACACGGCAACTACAGCCGGCACACGGCAACCACAGCCGGCACACGGCAACTACAGCCGGCACACGGCAACTACATTTCCAGGCACAGCCAGGCATCGTCAGGGCTCGGGATCGAACCCAAGGCCTCCTGCGTACCAGGCCAACTTGCGGACCTTGGTTGGGTTCCCACGTCCTTGAGGGTCATGGGGAAGGAGGGGGGGTTAGGGGTGATGGGGTGTTGGGGTTAGGGGTGTTGGGGTGTTGGGGTGTTGGTGTGTTGGTTGTTAGGGGTGTTGGGGTTAGGGGTGTTGGGGTGTTGGGGTTAGTGGTGTTGGGGTTAGGGGTGTTGGGGTGTTGGGGTTAGGGGTGTTGGGGTTAGGGGTGTTGGGATTAGGGGTTTGGGGTTAGGGGTACTCACCGTATCCCCTCGGGAGCCAGGGTGCCCAGGAAGCCCATCCTTGCCTGGGGGTCCCTGTAACAACAGCAACAGTGTCACACAAAGACAAAGATTCCCCGTGTAGCCTTGACAGACTGTTGGGGCAAGTGCTGTTAGCGAGCACCTATGAAGGCTACCAGCACTGTGGCACACGAAGGGGGTGGGTGGCCAGCACCACGCCCGGCCGCCTTTGTCTCCCCAGTGCTAGCGATGTTTACGACACACATCACACCAGGTACTCATGTGAGGCTGAGTCAATGTAATGGAGGCCCAGGACCGGTTAAAATATTTGCCACCGGTGTTGGCCGTGAGCGGGAATCGAACTCAGGTAGCCGGGCTTGTAGCGTGGTGCGCTAACCGCTACACTACCGCTCCCCACGCACACACACGCAGACACACACGCAGACACACACACAGACACACACACACAGACACACACACAGACACACACACAGACACACACACACAGACACACACACAGGCACACAGACACACACGCAGACACGCAGACACACATACATACACACACAGACACACACACAGACACACACACACAGACACACACACAGACATACACACGCACACACACAGACACACACACAGACGCACACATACAGACACACACACACAGACACACATACAGACACACAGACACACACACACATACACACACAGATACACACACGCACACACACACAGACACACACACACACAGACACACACACACGTGTACACACACATACGTACGGCTATCTGTGCGTGTGCAAGTGTGTGGTGAGATGTTAACTACCTCGCCTGGTCTACAGGAGGTCGTGAGTTCGATCCTGACGACGCCTGCTGCTGCTGTATATTTGAAGTCTGCGTCTCTCTCTCTCATTATCACGGTGGCTATGAGATGTTAACTACCTCGCCTGGTATACAGGAGGTCGTGGGTTCGATCCCGACCCTGACGACCCCTGCTGCTGCTGTTTATTTAAAGTCTGCGTCTTTCTCTCTCATCATCATCATCACGGTGGCTATGAGATGTTAACTACCTCGCCTGGTATACAGGAGGTCGTGGGTTCGATCCCCGACCCTGACGATGCCTGCTGCTGCTGCTGCTGTACATTTGGAGTTTGCGTCTCTCTCCCCGTGGCCTGGTGGATTTTTTTTTCCCCGGGGGTTCCCTCCGGTATTTCCCCGCTCCGCGCTCAGACACGGCGTCACGCGGTGGGAGCGTTTGGCCACCACGCGATCGTGAGCCCACTTCTCAACGGGCCATCGTCTCATGCGAGGGCCCCCTTACCCGGTAGAAATGTTCACAAATGTGTTCGTAGTTTTAGTGTCAGCGCGTGTGCGTGCGCGTTCGTGCGCGTGAGTGTGTGCGTGTGAGTGTGTGTGCGTGTGTGTGCGTGCGTGTGTGTGAGTGCATGTGTGTGTGTGTGTGTGTGCGTGTGTGCGTGTGAGTAAGACGGCCACGGTCTGCGGGCCTCTCGCACGCCCCTCACCGCAGGGCCCTTGGGCCCACCGAAGCCAGCCGGGCCTTGAGCACCTTGCAGACCCTGCACGTGCACCACGACCACCGTTAGGCACCGCGAGTCAAACCGAGCAACAAAGTCAACCGCGACCATTACCGCGACCATTACCATAACCACAACCATTACCACAACCATAACCACAACCATAACCACAACCATAACCACAACCATAACCACAACCAAACCACAACCATAACCACAACCAAACCACAACCATTACCACAACCATAACCACAACCATAACCACGACCATAACCACGACCATAACCGTGACCATAACCACAACCATAACCACAACCATAACCACAACCATAACCACAACCATAACCACAACCAAACCACAACCATTACCACAACCATAACCACAACCATTACCACAACCATAACCACAACCATAACCACAACCATAACCACAACCATAACCACAACCAAACCACAACCATTATCACAACCATAACCACAACCATTACCACAACCATAACCACAACCATAACCACAACCATAACCACAACCATTACCATAACCACAACCATTACCACAACCATAACCACAACCATAACCGCAACCATTACCACAACCATAACCGCTACTATAACAGGAACCATAACTGCCCATAGATTAACATTGCACGTAGACTAACATTGCCCATAGACTAACATTGCCAATAGTCTAACATTGCCCATAGTCTAACATTGGCAATAGTCTAACATTGCCCATAGACTAACATTGCCCATAGACTAACACTGCCCATAGACTAACATTGCCCATAGACTAACATTACCCATAGACTAACATTGCCCATAGACTAACATTGCCCATAGACTAACATTACCCATAGACTAACATTGCCCATAGACTAACATTGCCCATAGACTAACATTGCCCATAGACTAACATTGCCAATAGACTAACATTGCCCATAGACTAACATTGCCAATAGTCTTAACATTGCCCATAGACTAACATTGCCCATAGACTAACATTGCCAAGTCTTAACATTGCCCATAGACTAACATTGCCAATAGTCTAACATTGCCCATAGACTAACATTGCCAATAGTCTTAACATTGCCCATAGTCTAACATTGCCCATAGACTAACATTGCCCATAGACTAACATTGCCCATAGACTAACATTACCCATAGACTAACATTGCCCATAGACTAACATTGCCCATAGACTAACATTGCCCATAGACTAACATTGCCCATAGTCTTAACATTGCCCATAGACTAACACTGCCAATAGTCTAACATTGCCCATAGAATAACATTGCCCATAGACTAACATTGCCAATAGTCTTAACATTGCCCATAGACTAACATTGCCCATAGTCTAACATTGCCCATAGTCTAACATTGCCAATAGTCTTAACATTGCCCATAGACTAACATTGCCAATAGACTAACATTGCCCATAGACTAACATTGCCCATAGACTAACATTGCACATAGACTAACATTGCCAATAGTCTTAACATTGCCAATAGACTAACATTGCCCATAGACTAACATTGCCCATAGTCTAACATTGCCCATAGTCTAACATTGCCAATAGTCTTAACATTGCCCATAGACTAACATTGCCCATAGACTAACATTGCACATAGACTAACATTGCCAATAGTCTTAACATTGCCAATAGACTAACATTGCCCATAGTCTAACATTGCCCACAGACTAACATTGCCCATAGACTAACACTGCCCACAGACTAACATTGGCCATAGACTAACATTGCCAATAGTCTTAACATTGCCAATAGACTAACATTGCCCATAGTCTAACATTGCCCACAGACTAACATTGCCCATAGACTAACATTGCCCATAGACTAACACTGCCCACAGACTAACATTGCCCATTGACTCACACTGCCCATAGACTAACATTGCCAATAGTCTAACATTGCCAATAGTCTAACATTGCCAATAGTCTTAACATTGCACGTGGACATTCTAAACCTGTGCAGTGTGCGACCGTGGTCACCCAGAACCGAGCGTGAGTACAAGGCGCAGTGACGCCATGCCCCCATCCACAGACTACCAAGAAGGAGACGTCACAGCGACGACGATGATGACGATGATGACGACGATGACGACAATGATGACGATGATGATGACGACGATGACGATGATGATGACGATGATGACGATGGCGACGATGACGATGACAACGATGATGACGATGATGACGATGACGACGATGACGACGATTATGATGACGACGATGATGATGACGACAATGACGACGACAATGACGACGACAATGATGACGATGATGACGATGACGACGACGACGACGACGACGATGACGACGACGACGATGATGACGATTATGATGACGACGATGATGACGACGACGACGATGATGACGACGACGATGACGACGACAATGACGATACACTCACTACCCCACCAGTGCGGCTAAGGCAGGTTGTTGTATCTGGGCTTGACCACGCGAATGTGCGGTGGCAGAAGCTGCTCTCGCCAGTCGACGACAACAGCCCGAGTCGACGGGGTTAGCCGCAACGATGCCGACGGGGTTAGCCGCAACGATGCCGACGGGGTTAGCCGCAACAATGCCGACGGGGTTAGCCGCAACGATGCCGACGGGGTTAGCCGCAACGATGCCGACGGGCAACCAACAGCGCAACACTCACCACAACTACCGAGAAGCGTAAACCACCAACTAGCCACAACACTCACAGTCAACCAACACCAACCACCACGACCACCACAACCACCACAACCACCACCAACACCACCACCAGCAACACCACCAACACCAACAACACCACCAACACCACCACCAACCACCACGACCACCACAACCACCACCAACACCACCACCACCAACACCACCACCAGCAACAACACCAGCACCAACCACCACGACCACCACGACCATCACCAACACCACCAACACCACCACCAGCAACACCACCACCAGCAACAACACCAGCAACACCACCAACACCACCACCACCACCAACACCACCAACACCACCACCACCACCACCAGCAACAACACCAGCACCACCACCAACACCACCACCAACAACACCACCAACACCACCACCAGCACCACCACCAACACCAACAAACACCACCACCATTACCAACACCACCACCAACACCACGACCAGCAACACCACCAACACCAGCACCACCACCAACACCACCACCAACACCACCACCAACAACAACAACACCACCAACAAGACCAACACCACCACCAACACCACCACCAACAACACCACCAACACCACCAACACCACCACCACCACTTACTCGCTCGCCCGGAGGTCCAGGGGGTCCATCACTCCCCGAGGTTCCCTGCACGGGAGGGAGAGAGACGGCCTCAGCACTCAGCGCCACCAACCTGTGGGTCTCTATGTGTCTCTGTGAGTCTATGGGTCTCTGTGTAGTGAGTCTGTCGGTCTCTGTGTGTCTCTGTGAGTCTGTGGGTCTCTATGTGTCTCTGTGAGCCTATGGGTCTCTGTGTAGTGAGTCTGTGGGTCTCTATGTGTCTCTGCGAGTCTGTGGGTCTCTGTGAGTCGATAGGTCTCTGTGTAGTGAGTCTGTGGGTCTCTGTGACTCTGTGGGTCTCTGTGTAGTGAGTCTGTGGGTCTCTATGTGTCTCTGTGAGTCTGTGGGTCTCTGTGAGTCGATAGGTCTCTGTGTAGTGAGTCTGTGGGTCTCTGTGTATCTCTGTGACTCTGTGGGTCTCTATGTGTCTCTGTGAGTATATGGGTCTCTGTGAGTCGATAGGTCTCTGTGTAGTGAGTCTGTGGGTCCCTATGTGTTGTGAGTCTATGGGTCTCTGTGAGTCTATGGGTCTCTGTGAGTCTATGGGTCTCTGTCTAGTGAGTCTGTGGGTCTCGATGTGTCTCTGTGAGTCTATGGGTCTCTGTGAGTCGATGGGTCTCTGTGTAGTGAGTCTGTGGGTCTCTGTGTGTCTCTGTGAGTCTGTGGGTCTCTGTGAGTCGATGGGTCTCTGTGTAGTGAGTCTGTGGGTCTCTGTGTGTCTCTGTGAGTCTGTGGGTCTCTATGTGACTCTGTGAGTCTATGTGTCTCTGTGAGTCTATGGGTCTCTGTGTAGTGAGTGTGGGTCTCTATGTGTCTCTGTGAGTCTATGGGTCTCTATGTGTCGTGAGTCTATGGGTCTCTGTGAGTCTATGGATCTCTGTGTAGTGAGTTTGTGGGTCTCTATGTGTCGTGAGTCGATGGGTCTCTGTAAGTCGATGGGTCTCTGTGTAGTGAGTATGTGGGTCTCTGTGTGTCTCTGTGACTCTGTGGGTCTCTATGTGTCTCTGTGAGTCTGTGGGTCTCTATGTGTTGTGAGTCTATGGGTCTCTGTGAGTCTATGGGTCTCTGTGTAGTGAGTCTGTGGGTCTCTATCTGTCTCTGTGAGTCTGTGGGTCTCTATGTGTCGTGCGTCTATGGGTCTCTGTGTGTCTCTGTGAGTCTGTGGGTCTCTATGTGTCGTGAGTCTATCGGTCTCTGTGAGTCGATGGGTCTCTGTGTAGTGAGTCTGTGGGTCTCTGTGTGTCTCTGTGAGTCTATGGGTCTCTGTGTAATGAGTCTGTGGGTCTCTCTGTGTGAGTCTGTGGGTCTCTGTGTAATGAGTCTATGGGTCTCTGTGTGTGAGTCTGTGGGTCTCTGTGTGTGGGTCTGTGGGTCTCTGTGTAATGAGTTTGTGGGTCTCTGTGTGAGTCCTATGGGTCCTCTGTGTGGTGAGTCTATGGGTCTCTGTGTGATGAGTCTGTGGGTCTCTGTGTGATGAGTCTGTGGGTTTCTGTGTGATGAGTCTGTGGGTCTCTGTGTGGTGAGTCTATGGGTCTCTGTGGGTCTCTGTGTGGTGAGTCTATGGGTCTCTGTGTGGTGAGTCAATGGGTCTCTGTGTGGTGAGTCTATGGGTCTCTGTGTGGTGAGTCTATGGGTCACTGTGTGTCTCTGTGTGTGAGTCTGTGGGTCTCTGTGTGGTGAGTCTATGGGTCTCTGTGTGGTGAGTCTATGGGTCTCTGTATAATGAGTCTGTGGGTCTCTGAGTGGTGGTGAGTCTGTGGGTCTGTGGGTCTCTGTGTGACGAGTCTATGGGTCTCTGTGTGTGAGTCTATGGGTCTTTGTGTGGTGAGTCTATGGGTCTCTGTGTAGTTAGTCTGTGGGTCTCTGTGAGGCTATGGGTCTCTATGTGGTGAGTCTGTGGGTCTCTGTATAGTGAGTCTGTGGGTCTCTGTGTGTTTGAGTCTATGGGTATCTGTGTGGTGAGTCTATGGGTCTCTATGTGGTTAGTCTATGGGTCTCTCTGTATAGTGAGTCTATTGGTCTCTGTGTAGTGAGTCTGTGGGTCTCTGTATAGTGAGTCTGTGGGTCTCTGTGTGTTTGAGTCTATGGGTCTCTGTGTGGTGCGTCTATGGGTGTCTGTGTGATGAGTCTGTGGGGCTCTGTGTGATGAGTCTGTGGGTCTTTGTGTGGTGAGTCTATGGGTCTCTGTGTGGTGAGTCTATGGATCTCTGTGTGGTGAGTCAATGGGTATCTGTGTGGTGAGTCTGTGGGTCTCTGTGTGGTGAGTCTATGGGTCTCTGTGTAGTGAGTCTGTGGGTCTCTGTATAGTAAGTCTGTGGGTCTCTGTGTGTGAGTCTATGGGTCTCTGTGTGTGAGTCTATGGGTCTCTGTGTAATGAGTCTGTGGGTCTCTCTGTGTGAGTCTGTGGGTCTCTGTGTAATGAGTCTATGGGTCTCTGTGTGTGAGTCTATGGGTCTCTGTGTGTGAGTCTGTGGGTCTCTGTGTGTGAGTCTGTGGGTCTCTGTGTAATGAGTTTGTGGGTCTCTGTGTGAGTCTATGGGTCTCTGTGTGGTGAGTCTATGGGTCTCTGTGTGATGAGTCTGTGGGTCTCTGTGTGATGAGTCTGTGGGTTTCTGTGTGATGAGTCTGTGGGTCTCTGTGTGGTGAGTCTATGGGTCTCTGTGTGGTGAGTCTATGGGTATCTGTGGGTCTCTGTGTGGTGAGTCTATGGGTCTCTGTGTGGTGAGTCTATGGGTCTCTGTGTGTCTCTGTGTGTGAGTCTGTGGGTCTCTGTGTGGTGAGTCTATGGCTCTCTGTGTGGTGAGTCTATGGGTCTCTGTATAATGAGTCTGTGGGTCTCTGAGTGGTGGTGAGTCTGTGGGTCTGTGGGTCTCTGTGTGACGAGTCTATGGGGCTCTATGTAATGAGTCTATGGGTCTGTGGGTCTCTATGTAATGAGTCTATGGGTCTCTATGTAATGAGTCTATGTGTCTCTATGTAATGAGTTTGTGGGTCTGTGTGTGTGTGTCTGTGTGTCTCTGTGTGATGAGTCTGTGTGTCTCTGTGTGATGAGTCTGTGTGTCTCTGTGTGATGAGTCTGTGTGTCTCTGTGTGATGAGTCTGTGTGTCTGTGTGTCTCTGTGTCTGTGTGTCTCTGTGTCTCTGTGTGTCTCTGTGTCTGTGTGTCTCTGTATCTGTGTGTCTCTGTGTCTCTGTGTGTCTCTGTGTCTGTGTGTCTCTGTGTCTGTGTGTCTCTGTGTCTCTGTGTGTCTCTGTGTCTCGGTGTCTCTGTGTCTCTGTGCCACTACTCCAGGTGTCACTGTCACCTTGGGTCCGGTTTTTCCATTGGGTCCACGTGGCCCTCGCTCGCCTCTTGGGCCCTGAGCACACGGAGTGACACACACAGTGACACACTCAGTGATACACTCAGTGGCACACTCAGTGACACACTCACACACTCAGTGACACACTCAGTGATACACACAGTGACACACACAGTGACACACTCAGTGATACACTCAGTGGCACACTCAGTGACACACTCACACACTCAGTGATACACACAGTGACACACACAGTGACACACACAATGACACACTCACACACTCAGTGACACACTCAGTGACACACACAGTGACACACTCAGTGACACACACAGTGACACACTCAGTGACACACACACACACTCAGTGACACACTCAGTGATACACACAGTGACACACTCAGTGACACACACAGTGACACACTCAGAGACACACACAGTGACACACACAGTGACACACTCAGTGATACACACAGTGACACTCAGTGACACACTCAGTGACACACTCAGTGACACACTCAGTGACACACTTACACACTCAGCGACGCACTCAGTGACACACTCAGTGACACAGGGAGTGACACACTTACACATTCGGTTATATACTCAGCGACACAGTGTGTATAGGTGTGTGTGCGTGTGTGTGTGCGTGAGTGTGTATAGGTGTGTGTGTGTGCGTGTGTGTGTGTGGGCGTGGTTGCTCACCGTGCGTATAGGTGTGTGTGTGTATTCATGTGTGCGTGAGCGTGTATAGGTGTGTATGTGTGCGTGAGTGTGTGCTAGTGTGTGTGTGAGTGTGTGCGTGAGTGTGTATAGGTGTGTGTGTGTGCGTGTGTGCGTGTGTGTGCGTGAGTGCGTGTGTGTGCGTGAGCGTGTGTGTGTGTGAGTGTGTGTGTGAGTGTGTGCGTGAGTGCGCGCGTGTGTGAGTGTGTGCGTGAGTGTGTATAGGTGTGTGTGTGCGTGTGTGCGTGTGTGTGCGTGCGTGAGTGTGTGCGTGAGTGCGTGTGTGTGTGTGTGTGCGTGACTGTGCGTGAGTGCATGCGTGTGCGTGCGTGAGTGCGTGTGTGTGCGTGAGTGTGTGTGTGTGTGTGCGTGCGTGAGTGTGTGTGTGCGTGACTGTGCGTGAGTGCATGCGTGTGTGCGTGAGTGCGTGTGTGTGCGTGTGTGAGTGTGTGTGCGTGAG